ATATATATATATATATATGTATATGTCCCCCGACCACGGAGTCTCCCCCCCCATGTAGTAGAAAGACAAGGTAGCAGAATCGACAAAACTAAAGCCTCAACCTGCCGTACGTGCTTCTGCGTGCTGTCTACGTGCAAAAACGTAGGCAAATGTAGGACATTCGTGCGTGGTGAGTACCGCCTCCGTACGGAATCCTACGGATTTTGGAGCACGCAAACACGCCATGCATGTGCATGTGAAACTTTTTCGACGTGCGGTCTGCGGATTCACCACCCGTACGTGCGAGTACGTGCGACGTGCGTGCCCCGTACGTGCCGTACGGAAGAAGCACGTGTGAGTGCGGCCTCCTTACGGTAAAGTTGCAATCGCACAGAGATCGTACGTTGCAAGCACGTACAACTCACTTACCACTTGCGCAACGTACGATGCACGCAACCGCTCACGGCCAGGCGTGGCGTACAGACCCAACGCTTACACCTTGCGCAACCGTGCGAGTGACGTGCGTAGACGCCACTCCTTCCCCACGTTTTCAGAAACAAGTGCTTTTATAAAAAGCTGTCGATTGCCGCCGTTGTATTTTTGCACAACAAAATCGTATGCAAAAAATGTTTTTTTTGTAGAGTGATGATGAAGTCTTTGAAATCTAGCTATGCTATACTACATACACATGTACATTGGGATTGTCACTATTGGCATGTAGATAGTTTAGGAAAAGATAACCAGAATTGATGCTCATTAGGAGCTAGTTCACGTCATTTTTAAGTGAGGAAATTAGATTCTTAATTATCAAATCTGAAATACAAAGATTTCTTATGTGATGTCAGGAGCAATTGATTTCAATTGTGCATGTTTTTTTTGACATTGACAGCTTGTCAATGGCCATACTACATGTAATATATTACCCATAGCGAGAATGTTAATCCCCAAGAATGCAATATCAGGCAACACTTGCCCATATAATTGAAAGAACAGTAATAACAACTAGTTTTTTTATGTTAAAATAATAAGTAGTAACGTTAACAACTAGTTTTTGAATGTTAAAAAGCAAAACAGCGGATGTTAAAAAGAAAATTTTAAAAAACCCATATGTCGAGACTTGAATAATTAGTTTTTGAGTGTTAAAAGCAAAACAGCGTCTGTTGAAAAGAAAATTTAAAAAAAGTTCCGCGGCGGGGATCGAACTCACTACGTGTAGACACCGCCATTGCCATCCAGCCACGCTACCCATCGAGCCATTGGAAATTAACGTGAAATTATATTTGAAATGTATATCTGTGTCAAACATAGAGCTATGTTGGCATTTTATCACATAGTAGCCCAGTTTTTAGTGCTTCATGCATAAGAGACCAGGAAGTGCAGACACAATGACGGGACTCGGTCAACAGAAATAGCCCGGATGTAGGACGGACGAACAACGGACGGTCGGTCGGACCAGGGAGCATGTAGGAAAGCCACCGCAAAAAAAACGTGGCAGACGTAGCCTCCCAAAAAACGTACGGACAAAAAGCACGTACGGCGGGTTGTGACCAAGGCTTAAGGGAGGGATGCAAGGGGCCAGCTAGTGGTGTAGGAAACATAGACAGATGCAAGCAAAATAAAAAAGAAGAAATTTGCATTTTATCGACATGTATTTTACCTCAAATCGACACAAACAATATCCGTTTCAATCACTAATTTTGTTTGACCAAGCCTGAGCATTAGTCCACACGAGGAGGATAGCACTTTAAAACAATTTCCTTGGGCCAAGGATTTTACACGGCTTTGAGAATTCATCCAACGCGGCACTTTGTGCGTACCGTGGCCATGGGGCTCTCCTGGCCGGTAACGGGAGGTCGCAGGTGCGGCGAGCTTTACTCAAATGATACGGATGAACCGTTAAACCCCGGTCACATCCATCGTGCGGCGCACCTGCACACTTTATATCGCGACGGTCGTGCCGCACTTAGTATATAAGAGAAGAAACGACTGCAATAGTTTAAAATTCTGCCAAACCTGCCACTTACGGTGATTCCATCGCGGAAAAATGTGACAGGGGCTTTACAGTGCAGCCTTCTGATTCACTTGCAGAAAAAACTTCAATATCTGGATGAATTCAAATGCGGAGAGGACGGAGCATCATGTATCATTGGGAAAGGAATGGCAGGATCCTGTCCATGCCAAGATTTGTTATATTCAAGTCGGGCTCATATTTGTTAAGAGTTCATGGTGTACTGTGCTTTCTACTCATATTGATATTTCTTTAATATCAAACTATGTGTATATTATGAATATATATGTCTGGGTTCAGTTCATGTCAGGGTAGTGCTGGCTATCTAACATAAATCATACATAGCGATTTTACCGGTAGAGTCTTTGCTGGTAATGATAACCACCTGGTACAAATGCAACTACAGGCAGATATCTCGCTTGGGAGAACGGGCTATTCAAATGGAAGAGACCATGATCGGAATAGGTAACCTAACCCTTATTTTGATTCTATAGAGAGTCTGTGATTCTGAAGAGACTCCAACCGCGATCCCTACCGGAATAATGGACGATTCCGCCAGACCGCAATCTTTACGCTGATATTTACGGCATTACGACCTTTTCGCCATTACGATTTCAGAAAACGTGTGTGTTTGTCCATTTGATCAAATAAAACATGGAAAGGGCCCCGTACCTCTTGAATATTGCTGGAAAATTTGAAAGCAATTTGCGTCTGAATTGCTGAAACCTGTCCCAATAGCTTTGGACACGTGACTTTAGGTTTGTGTCTCCTGATTCGCCGGACGAGGGGCGATATAGACTTCCAAACCTTTTGACCCATTGACCAAAGTCACGTGCCTGTAGAAGGGGACTGATTGATTCAGCCGACAATTCTAATAAGTCTTTTATTTTTTTAGTTTGAAAAGTTTAATTGTTCCATAATGTAAGTTGCCAACAAAAGAAGAAACTCGTCGTCATTCATCTTGAGTTATGATTATTATCAAATATCTTACCGTCGCCTATTTATTTAACCCAGTTTAGTTAAGAAGACAAAATGTCTCAGGGTGTACTCAGAGTGTACATGGTATTATTACGCTTTGATGAGTGAATGTGAAGTGCTGAAGCTGTGTAAGCAAGTAGGCTTACATCATCCTAAAACACCATAAAACAGCATCATCCTGGAATTATTTTGACTGAATGGTTATGCCTTTATCAAGGATAAATATGTTGACATTCCTGCAGCCGTTAATTTCAGAATAAGATGTAATTCAAAATTTAAAATTTAACTAATGTCTCCAAATCGAATGTCGGAGGTATGTAAGTATATGTAGAACATTGGTATTTTAAAGACGTGGTAAGTTAAAGACTACATTTATTGGCTGAAACAAGGTAATAACAGGTTTGTGGTGTGTTTATCCTTATTTCTACCCTGTTACATTTCTGTCCAAAAGGAATGAAGTTTTGTGTCTGGCACCTAAAATAAAGGCTAGGTCTGGTCCATCTCAACGTAGTCGGTCTTTCAGCTTTGCAATTCACTGATAACGGCAGATTTTGCTGACGTAATCAAAGCTTGTAACAGTACATTACAGCTGTCATCACTTTCGTCATAGACACCTAGATGTCGGGAACACCGGAACTGCGTCATCACCTAACACCGGAAGTGCGTCAGCATGTCAATCAGCCACAGCCACATTCAAATGCTCGATCGCGACTTACTCTGAAGCCCTGGTTTGCCGCCATTGAGATAGAAAAGTAAGAAGGTGTTAATTCCGTTGCGGTCCCGAAGAAATATATAAAACCACAGCAAGTAAATTTTATGGATGACATCGATAGGGCGAAAAAGTGTGGGCCAAAAAAACAAGATTCCAGCATTTTCAAATTTTGACACCATGAACCTCGTTAAACAAGAAATGGTACCTGTGTTGTGCTAAATTTACTGACAACTATTACAACATCCATTTGTCACTGAAACAACTTTGAAAAATAAAA